TTTGTTCACCTTTTCTTCAGCAATAATTTTATGCCTTTTTTATCACTCCATGAAGCATCCTTTTATATATTTCCAATTAGCATAATGCAACACAATCTGTGACACTATTACATAATTATTTTCCCCTTTCCCAGGCATTTTCCACATTCCATTTTTTATTTATTCTCTAATTTTTCATGATTAAACTATCAAATCAATCATGCATTTGGATTTATATTCATTCCTGTCATGTGCACATATTAATAGATCTGTGTTTAAACCATATATTTGAGAGAATCCTTTTTCTAAGCAGATATTTACCAACGTTCATTCTAATTAATTTTTGAGTCTTCATAGAGTTTAATCATGTTCCCTGTACTATTCTCATCTTATTATCAACCATCTATTCATGTACCCTAGTATTTGCTCAAAATATTGATTGCTTTTCCCAAAAAATCTTTCTATTACACTATTCACCTGAGCATAACATACAGCTAACCCACACTTTTGATTTCCCAAGTTCATATGCATAGTTAATCTAGGTTATCTATCAATCCTTAGTTTCTGATAATATTTCAGTTTTTCATTCATAATTAAATGTACATCTTGACTTTTCATAAATTCATCAACTCCACTCAAGAGCAGAGCACCTTAATTATTAATCCTTTTCTTATTTTCATAGATTCAGAACATACCTTTTTTCTTTCATTTCATTCATTAAGTTATGCTTTTCATATATTACCTTAGCTTTGGTCACAAAATTGTAGTTTTTACACATTTATCATAATATAAAGTATTTCCCCATGCAATTTTTCTAATATCTATTAATAGTTGTAGTTTTGATATTCCTTTTGCAAAAGTGTGGTACTTTTACCATAAGGATTTTGTGCACTTTTTCTCCTGGAAAAGTGTACCATGAAATGCAGAAATATACTAAAATGTGATGGATAATTGTGCTATAGCTTGCTAGTTGGAGATAAATGAATTGGATAACTTTATGTTCAAGTGACAATTGAATAAACTTATCCACATTCCTACAAACAATATATACTGCTTTCTATATTAAGCTAAAAAATAGCTTGAAATTTCAGCACTTGCTCATCTATCTTTCTATAAAAGAACTTTAGAGTAATATTTTGGAACCTTCACTAGTAATAGTCATTAAATATTATTCTACATCCAATGATCTTTTTGAGTAGCTATGTATCATATGAGCTACAGACAAAAAATGGAATTAAATTAGGTCCTCATTTTGAAAGCATACTAATGTAACCCACACATTCCTAACTATGCATAGTAGAACACAATTATCCTAACAATTCAACATTTCTCCGAATGACGTGTTGCAGTTTTCAGCTTTATACATTAATGTCTTTGAACTGTCAGAGATTTTATTAAAAAAATAAAAAATGCAGATTAATACAGGAAGAGGGCTAATGAAAGAAGACACGGAAAACTCACATAGATCATAAATGACCATCTCCATCCATCCATAACTCTGGATCATTCCACAACAAGAAAATGCCCATGTTGAATAAAAGACTCAGGAAAGTCTCCAAACTGTCCAGATGAAGGATTGGATAACAAGATGCTGGGAAATTCCAGCATTATATAATGCCAGACTGGATTAACAGTATCACATACTTTGTGGACAACCTCAAAACAATTGACCCTTCCCCACAAGTTCCTTTCATTCATGTTCCCAAAATTTTATTAGTCTACATACTTATGTGTCCCACAATATAAAGAGGATTTCTGACTACATCTCCATTTTCATTCTCAATATAACTCTGACCTCTTCTGAATGTCTCTGCAAAAGTTTAAGTAATGATTCCAATACTGAGCTTTTAGAGAGAAGGAAATGGTAGAAGGATGTGCTTTCATGTTATGCAAGGATGAATAAAGATGTTTTCCTCCATGGTGTTTGGATCATCTCAACAGGCCACTTAATATTGGCTTTTGTCTTGGACTGCAGAAAAGATTGCCTTCTCTGAAAAAAAAAATATGACACTCCCTACTCTTTCTTGATCTTCTTTTTTTCCTGTTTCTAAGCAACCTGAAGTGCTCCAATATATCTGTATTTCAAACATCACAGTTTGTGTTAATTCAAGCACTGAAATAGCACCTGATAAAACAAAACAAACAAATATAATTTGATCACAAAAGATTGGACAGAAAGGACCAACAAAGCCAAGAAAAGACTCATTTACCAACCACGATAAAAAGGAATCTGTTCTCATGTACAATTCAAAGCAACTTATCATTGTATCTTTCAACAACAACAAGAAAGAGGACACATTGTAAGAAGTCAGCTGCTTAGGCATCAGCTTAGTGGTAAACAATGTCTTCAATCTTCTGCAAAAAGCAGACCCAGTTCTCAAACTTGGATTTCTCTCTGGTAACATCTAGGTTTCCTGTGATCCCAATATATTTGGAGGATAACAGTTTAGAGAAATCTCCTATTGTTCCAAATATTGGGACAAGACAGTAAGCATACAGATTTATGTTGTGACACATGTTTTACCTGCCAAACAGGTCAACTGCTGCAGAAATGGGAACAGCTATTTCACCAAGTATAGACTGTTCACTGAAACTACAGCAATGAGGCTCAAACATGCACTTTTCAGATCCATTAATGAAAGCACAAATTATAAATACCATAACCAAATAATAATCAAATATTTATAAAGTACATGCATGTAAATAAATTGCTTGTCCAAAACTGGGCTAAATTAATCTACAAGGGCCTCACATCTTTCCCAGAAGCTTGAGAAGTTTAAAGAAGCTGGAGCAGTGTTGAATAACGAAGCTTTTAGACAGATATCTTCTTGGGGTTTTTTTTCTACTTTTCATGACTTTAATTCTCTTAACAAAGACAGTAACAAAGCAAACAACATATTAATAAAAAGAAAGAAAAAAGTATCTATTTCCTTTGTAAAAAAAGGAAATTGCAAAACTGGCTGAAAAGCAAGTCAAAAGTATAACAATTCACACTGCTATTACAAGCAGGATTCCAAGTCATGATTTCTTTTGCTTAGAGACAGTTGCCATCAGTTGCCATGGAATGACACGGAGCCCATGGATACACAAACCCTTTCAGCAGCAGCTTGCCTTAGTAGTCTTCTGCATGTACATGAGCACTTGTTTACCCACTTAGTCCTTTCTCACTCATCTCCGTCTCATCAAATTTGTTGTTGTTGTTGTTGTTGTTGTTGTTATTATTATTACTATACAAAACATTCTTTGTCACTTGTTTCCTCCAAAAATGTGTCTAGTTAATACCAAACAATATGGAAGAAGAAAACTTCTTCTGTGTATCATTAAGAATAGCCAACTTGCATATACCTATCCAAGAGAAACACAAGATTCCACTTTTTCAATAGATTTATACAGGCTACTTCCTCTAAAATCAGGTGCACCTTGTCCAGTTTGCGACTCTTTTACAACAAATATAGTACAGCTATGGACAACTCAAGCAGACTTGTAGCTATGCTTTAATATAATGAAATAATGCTAAATCATCCAAATAAATCCCTGATGTGCATATAGCTGATCTCAGAACAGCCACAACAGTTGCTGTCTCTCAAGCTAATAGCCAAGCAGCCTGACAACCCTAGTTCCCCAATGCAGACTTAGGTGTGTCTAAAGCGTTTTATGTTAACACATGCTGAGGTAAACCTCATTCTGTTGAAACCTCTTTGGAGAAAGCCAACATAGAGATGTCATTTTTTTTCTCTTTCTGGCAAACTGAACCAATTAACATTTATGAAAACATTTTCTCCTGTAAGCAGCCAACTTTATTGATATGAGGGCCCACTTCATATCAATAAGGAAGCACAAGTAGGTGTGAATAAATCCCAGTAACCAATACAAAAATAGAATATGCTGGGCAAAATTAACTGTATGAACATGTGAGAATTGTTGCAGTGATATCATCTCCCTCACCCTACATACTTTACATTGATGTTTATTAGCAGCATGTGTTCCTTGGGCAAGAATATCTAAGACTGTAGTCTTGCATAAAAGTTAGGAAAAGGCAATTTAAAGCAGATTATTAGGGAATCATAAGGAAAATGGAATGGAGTTAAGATCAATACTGAATATAAGAGACATTTTCAAAATGCTTCTATATTCAAATCAAGGTTTTTGTACCCTAACCCTTAAAATGTTATTGTCTGCGACCAGATTTTTTGGACAGCTGCTCTGACAAAGAGCTGAGAAATATAAGCCAAGATTGAATGGACTATCACAAAGCCCAACTGCTCATCCACACTGTTGTTTTGTCTTTGAAATAATTCCGGGCCAAATATCACCACTCAGTCTATTTAGAGTCAGGATTCTCTCACATTCATTGGAATCCAAGGCAGGAATCCATGAACTCTCTTCGAGACAAAGCAACTGATTAAAAATACCCAAACTATTCACTTCTCACATAGAGTTCCCACATGGTGCTCTTCCCAGATATGTTCAACTGCACTTCCCATCATCTATAGAAGGGGGAGTCTAGAGTATATAAAAGACACTAAGCTCTGAAGAAGGCTATACCAAACCAGGGTGCTGTCTTCCTACCTAGACAGAGACCCATCCCTACCCAAACTTCCTGAAGGACCTCAAGAAATCAGAAGGAAGCTTCAGCTTTCCATTGGGCAGATACAACGTGCACATTCTTTTTCCCGGTGGGGTGTGTATGTGTGAGTGTATGTGTGTTAAAGGAAAAGCCCTGGAGGCGTGCCCCCGGAGTTCACACCTAATATCTACCCCACCCAATCCACGTCTGCTGCATCTCTGCTTCCCACTTATCCCACGGAGATGATGCTCTTCCCATTTCTCCTCCACCCGCTTTCCAGCACCCCGTTATGTCAGCGCCGCACCGCGCCACGCCTCCATAGCATGTCCATATCCCCTCGTGAAGCCCGCCACGGCCCGGCTTCTCCTCTGCATCCATCCCCTTCCCGGACCCCGCGCCGCACATCCCTTCCTCCCCTGATGCGAGGACCCCCGCCCGATCCCGCCCATCTTACCTGGGCACGCAGCTGGGCGCTGAGCGATCGATTTCCCAGGTGGCGAAGAGGTTCATGGGCACCGGGACCGGCCCGAGCCCCCCAGAGACCCCCGATGCCGCCGCGCAAGTGCCCATCGGGGGGAAAGCATTACTGGCCGCCCCCCCGGGCCCTGACCCGGACCCCAGCGAGCCCGCTGTCGTCGCCGCCGCCGCCGCCATCGCGCCGCTACCCTGGAACCTAAACTGGGTGCGGTGGGAGGGAAGGTAGGGGGGCGGCCGGGACCCTCGGCCCAGCCCCGATCCACTCCTCACGGCGCGATCGGGGCGGAGCCTCTAACGAGGCAGCCAATCGGGAACGACGGAGGCAAACCTTGCCGCGCCGGTAGGCCAACCAGCGTGCAGGGGAGAAACTGTTTCCACAGCATCCGCCAATTCCGACGCGAGAGGCAGGCTTTGAAAAGGGGAAGGCTTGAACGAGGCGTGGCCTGGGGAAAGAAGAGTTTAAATAGGGAGGGGAAATAGACTTTAAGGATTGGAAAGAACTTGAGTGACACGTAGTTTACCCAATAAAGAAAGAGATACTAATAAAAAGCATTCTTCATGTTTCTGTCTCTGTTGTGACTATGTTATCTATTTTTTTAAATAGTATTGATGTGTATTGTGGGATTTTCAATTCAATAAACAAACGTGTACGGAATCGGTGAAGTCATATGGTACTATGGCCAGAATAACCCTGGTCACAAATTGTACATGGGAAGAAGGTCAATTGAGCTGCTGGACCAAAATTTCCTCATGATCTCCAAAGATGTGGGGGGAAATTCCCCAAAGTTAGAGAAAGGGCTGACAAGCATGCACCCCCACAGTTATGCAATGGGAGCACATGGGCTAGTCCTGGAGATGAAATCTAGAGCTCTATAACTTAGCAGGTATCTAAAATACCCTTTCAGGGTATGGCAGGTAATGGGCAAATGAAAGCAGGCCCAGTACCAATGAAGGCTATCCAAGCAGTGTTTCTCACCCATAGCTGCTTTAAGATGTGCGGGCTTCAACTCCCAGAATGCTGGTTGGAGGCTGCAAAAATATCTCTTTTGCTGCCAATCTCTGGTCATCCAGATTTCTGTTGCCTGGATCCCTTAACCCTATAACCAGTATCAGCATAGAGAAAAGCTAGGGCTTGACACTGCATTTTAGCAATGTCTCTATGTTCAGTAAGCTAACTCCAGACTTATTTCCAAAGTAACTGTGGAAAGCTGGCCATATATTTACCTTTGAATGGTATTCTTGTTAATTGCCATCCAGTATTGATTGGTGTCAGTGGCGGATTAAGGCTCACTGGTGCCCTAAGCACTCACAAATCTTAGTGTCCCTCCTTTGTACATACTGTACAAATCTTCATTGTTGTTTTTTTCTTTCTTTCTCAACTTTGTGGTGCCCTCCTTGGGCCTGGTGCCCTAAACACATGCTTAGTCTGCTTAATGGTTAATACACCACTGATTGGTGTTGATTCTTAGTGACTCCACAGATTTTCTTCTACACAATCTGTTCCAACACAGTCTTTCAAGTCTTCTAGCCGTGCACCCATTGCCACTGTAACTGAATCCATCCAACTTTCTGCTAGGCGTTCTCTTTTTTTCTTCTTCTTGTTCCTTCTATCTTTCCCAGTATTATTGTGGTTTTTTTTTGTTATGATTTATTTATTAAACTATTTAAAGGACCAAAATAAATAGGTGCATTAAAAAGAGACATTGTGCATAAGGAAAATACATAATTAAATAAAAAGGTAAATAAAATATTTACAATTATCATAACTTTTTAATTAATTAATTAAATGACTAGAACTAAGTTCATTATTTCTACTCATTTAATTAATTAATTAAAAAGTTATGATAGTAAGTTCATTATTTAGGGACGCAGTGGCTCAGTGGCTAAGATGCTGAGCTTGTTGATCAGAAAGGTCGGCAGTTCGGGGGTTCAAATCCCTAGTGCCGTGTAACGGAGTGAGCTCCCATTACTTGAAAGCGCGTAAAAAATGCAAGTAGAAAAATAGGGACCACCTTTCGTGGGAAGGTAACAGTGCTCCATGCACCTTCAGCATTTAGTCATGACCATGGAGACCTCTTCGGACAGCGCTGGCTCTTTGGCTTTGAAATGGAGATGAGCACCGCCCCCTAGAGTTGGGAATGACTAGCACATATGTGCAAGGGGAAGCTATACTTACCTTAAGTTCATTATGTTATCTGAAGAAAGAACTTGAAATCTCTATAAAACTGTATTATATTAATATATTATTTTATATTGTATTAGAGTTAACATTGACATCCCCACTATATGCACCCACTACATGTACATAATTATGCCAAATAATTAAAAAATGGTTGTGGGGTTAAAAAAAATTTAAAAAATTTAAAAGAGAATGATCAGTAAACAATATTGGCAAACTATGCAATTTTAAATTTCCTCCCATTGTAGCCAACTGGTGGTTGTTTCAGTACTTTCATAAACACTGAATTTTTTGCTAATTGTGGTCAATTAAAAACCACACACTGATATCCTAGTTTGGATTGTTATGTGACATGTGATACATGAGGGAGTTATTCTTGTTTAAACTTAGTCCAGTTTATGTTCTGAATGCATAATTTTGCCATTGCTAGATGTTCCTCAAGTGTGGTTCCACTGTCTGATATTGTCAAATATTGATACTGCCAGCAAAATATTCAGCCAAATTTTTCCTCATGACCATCAGTATATATTTTTTTTAATGTTCTTATTTATTTATTCTTTTAGGAACAATTTGTAGTAGAAATCAAGGTTTTAATTCAAACTTTGTTTATTTTTTTAAAATAATGTTTTATTTCTTTCAAGGACTTCTGAACTGTTGACCACCATGCTTGATAAAATGTTCCTTCTATATCTCAATATTTCCAATATTTTTAGGATATAATTTATCTATTTTTAATGTATGTTCCACCTGTAAAATTTCCTGTCTGGACGGTTGCTTTATGATTAAGTTTTATATGAGGACTGTAAGATGTTCCGGGATCCCATCTTTCTAAGGATATCCCATAGTTTCACATGGTTGACCTAACTGAAAGCCTTTCTCTAATCAGTGAAGCATATTTTGACTTACAGGGTCTGGTCTTGGTTGGATAAGTCTTAGCATTATTTATTTCACTAGTGTGTGATGTTAGGAATATTGTGTTAAGTCTTCTTTCTTTGATATGTAAAATGACCTCTTCCAATCTATTGGCTCTTATGTATTGTTCTCCTTTGATGGTGTAGCATGGTTAGAACCATCACTGATTCTTCTTCTGTTGCTTACCATATTTCTATAGATATTCCATCAATCTCTTTAACTTGGTAATAGCTGGAGTGATCTCATATACTAATACTAAAGGTTCCTGTAAATATTATTTTCTAGGGTATCTTGGATGTTGACATCCATATTGTAGAGAATTTCACTATATGTGAAGGAAATCCTGCCATGCTTGACCCTGACTACTTTAAAGGAGTGACAATAATCTTGAAATCCTGTAAGAGTTTTTCTCCATATTATATCAAAAAAGTCTAATGAATGTTATTTGATCACCAACTGCATTGTAGCCTTTGCTACATTCTTTCTGACTATTAAAATGACACTATCCCCTTTTTTATATCCTGAGTAGTAAATAGTATGATTGAAAGTATCAAATTCTCTTTCAATTCATTGATGCCTAAGATATCAATATGTAGTTGACTCATCTTTAGCTACACTGAGTTTTTCCATATTCATGCTTCTTACATTATATGTTCCACATGAGACTCTGCATCTTTGGAAATCCCCCCCCCCTTTTGCATGGCAACATCAGTTACTAGATGCCCTAAAGGGCTTGAACTAGCTGCACAATCTATCACCATTAATAGCCAATTTGGTATAGTTATTAAAAGTATTGCCCAGGTGACTGATCTAGTCCTACTGGAGGCACAAAACCAGCTGGATGACTTTCAGCAAATCACCTCTTTCATCCTAGGAAGAAACAATAACAAATTAATCCTGCAAATGTTGCCAAGTAAACTGTATAGCCTTGTCATGTTGTTGCCAGGAGTCAAGACTGATTTGAGGGCACAGGAATAATAACAAACAATATTAGTACACCCAAAGTTGTTCAGCTTTTCCATTCAATCTGAATCGGGCATCATCTGGCACTATATCTTTGTTTCCTAGGAACATCCCATTGCATTATAATGAGCTAGCAAACCAGGACAGAATATTAATCCATCAATAGTCTCAATCCCAAGATGTCTATATAGCCATCTGAATGTCTTGCCCCAATCATATAAATACATAATTAAAAAAAAACCCTCCTATTTGCAAACATTACCAATCGTGGCTGAGCGGCAATGACACCTACTCAATCATCTCTAGGGAGGAGGGGGAGCAGTGGATTTGGAGAAAAACATGCATGTCCAACATCCTTTCCTGCATCTCAACCTGCAAAACATGCATGTGATGGAAATGAAACCCTTCATCTTCAAGGCCCAGTAGCTCAGTCAATCTTCACCTGTCAGGTTTTAATCCCCTTATATTATGTGTGCATTTGTGTGCCCTGCTGAATCACAAACTAATCAGTCACACTTTTAGCCTGGCATATTCTACAAATTCAATGGCACATGATCAGTTTATGGTTTATAGTAATTTTATGGTTTATAGTTCAGTGAGTTCTGCAATGCCACAAATATTGAGGTACTTGGATAAAGATAGCCATGGGAACACAGTCATAAAATATGCTAACTCAGCCATCAAATGAAAAGGAAGTGGTTCTATACAACACAACACAATATGTGCACATATGTATTTCTCTATAATTACAATGTGTATCAGAAATGTAGTGGATATTATTGATTGAGATTCTTAACAAAAAAAAAAGATATAGCAAAAGAACTTTAAAACTTTAACTTTTATTAAAAAATCTCAAAGCCTTATTTTAATCAATATCTAAGTTAATCATTATCCAAAGTATTATTCATTGCAAAATTGTACAGATTTTGACTACTGTAAATACCACAATTAGTCACACTTCTGAATCCTCAAGATTGTTTTACTCCAGTAATGTATAAATACATATCATCAAATGCCAATATGTTCCTTTACAAAGTTTGCTGCAGATTGAAAAAAGGAG